AAAGGACACCAAACAAGTTTTAGTTTTATACAGGGCAAAAGAGGCCTATAGTTGGCCATAAGAGGGGGCTCTTTGGGCAAAATAAGAGTCAGAAAAACATGAGGACTCCAATAAGGAATAGCAGGAAAACCTACCAAAAAGGGAAAAGAAAGGGATAAGTAGGGGAAACGGGAATTTACACAGGAGGAAGAAGCTGAGAAAGTCACAAACAGCTGAAAAAGTACATTTCTCTCTGCTCAGCCCCCATGACTCAGTTTCCCCAGCACAGGTCCCCATGACATCCTCATCACATCCACTCTAGAAAGCATTCTCACACTGCCTGCCTGTATTTCCTCCCTCGTGTATGAGTTGATTTGGGGGACTTGACTTTCTGGAAATGTGCTGGCAATGGCTCCTGCTCTGGTTCCTTACAGGAGGTTGACACTACCAGTTCCTCATTACTCTGCCTCTGATCCTTGTCTACTCTAAGACTCAGCTCTGATTCAGAACGCTCAGGGCCAGACTGCTGCTGCCTTCTTAGAGACCTTCTGCTCCTGTGTTGCTCCCTCCTATTTTCTTCTTCTTGTTGCTGCTGCTTTATCTTCATCAGCTTTTCAAAGCTTTTGGTTGTTGTTGGGTTTACAATAAACCAATCCTAGAAGCAAAATACAAAAATCATTCAGAGGCATAATGGAGAGCATAAAGAAAGGGTGCAAGAAGAATAAAAATGGCATGACTAAGAACACTGTATTAAGGAGGAAACAGTCTGGAACCAGAGCTTAGATGTTTTTATTTTAATTTGGGAAGATTCAAGACACACCAGCCATTTTATTTAATAAATGTGTAGGAGGTTATTCTGGGTACATAAGACCTACAATGAACATAAGACCTACAATGTCTGCTTACTTAGAATCACCCCATACATATACTTCCTTCAGGAAAAACCACATCATGATATGGAAAAAGCACTACGCCATCAGAGTTGAAGGTAAGAGAGCATGAATTTTGCCGCCAGACTATCCGGGTGCAAATCCCAGCTAGGTTTCTAGCTATGTGACCATGAGCAAACTGACATGTAATTCAATTACAAAATATTCTTGACAAGAAAACTATAAAAGAATTCAAACCTAATTAAGTGTTAAGTCTTCAGATGTTAATACATGCCATCAAGTCAATTCCCAACTCATGGCTACCCTGGTTAAGGGTTTCCAAGAGCAGATAGTGGGTTTAATTGATGACCTTACGGTTAACTGTTCAGTGCTTATCCTACAGTATCACATCAGGACTTCTAGATCTAACTAATAATTTATAGGAATTACCTAGACAGGGAATGCTGGTATGGCACTGTAGGATAAGCACTAGACTGCTAACCCCAAGGTTAGGGGCTCAAACTTACCACCTGCTCCTCGAAAACTCTATATAGGGTTGCTGTGAATCTAAACCAACTCAACAGCACTTAACAACAACCTAGGACAGAGGAACACCACCACAGGGATGCAATCAATAAAATCCAAAATATTTATCCAGTTTCTTCAACAAATAAATGGCAAAGGTTTAAAAAAAAAAAAAAAAGGTGGGAAACTCTTTGACCTGCATTGTCCAGTGAGGTAGCCACTAGTCATTTGTGACTAATGAACTCTTAAAATATGGCTAATCCAAACTAAGATATGCTTTCAATGTAAAAGACACATCGAATTTCAGAGATCTGTTGTTGTTATTAGGTGCCACCGAGTCAATTTCAACTTATAGTGATCCTATATAGGGTTTCTGAGGATCATCTGATGAGCTTGAGCTGGTGAGCCTGAACTGCTGACTTTGCAGTCTAGCGCATTAACCCACAGCGCCACAACAGGTAAAGACACATCATATTTCAGAGACTTAGTATGGAAAAATATAAACTATTTCAATAATTTTTTATTGATTATGTTAAAAAGATAATATTTTGGCTCTACTGGGATACATTAAACATTTAATTTCACCTGTTTTCTTTCTAATTCTTTGTGTGGCTACTAGAAAATTTTAAATTACATACATAGCTCATGTTACATTCCCATTGCATAGTGCTGCTCTATATTAAACAGACAAATATAGTATGTGGAACTTTTTAGATCCTGATTTGAACAAGCCAACTCTGAAAAAAAAACATGAGACTCTCAGGGAATTTAAATAATGACAAGATACATGGAGATAAACAGAACTGATGTTATTTTTTATAGATGTAATAAGGAGCTCTGGTAGCATAGTGGTTACAAATTGGGCTGCGAATCGCAGTGTCAGCAGTTCGAATCTACCAGCTGTTCCACAGGAGAAAGATGAGGCGTTCTGCTCCCGTAAAGATTTACAGCCTCGGAAACCTTGTACAGTGTCTCTATGAGTCAGAATCGACTCCACAGCACATAGCAACAATGATAGTTATGGTCATATGGTTTTTAAAGCCCTTTTATCTCTATATACTGAAGTATTTACTGATATTTGGGATTTGCTTTACATGAGACTATAAGGAAAAGTGAGAAGGTTTGTGAAAAATAATTTTGGCAATACACTGATGACTGCTGAAACTGGCTGATAAGTATATTGGTTCATTACATTATTCTCTTTATTTTTGTGCATTTGAAAATCTCTGTAAATTAAAAAAGAAAAAAAGAAGTATAAGAAAATATAAGGCAGGGGTGGGGATGATCAAGACGAAAATGTTTGACAATGATATAAAATTTAAAAACCTAGGCCTAAATCACTGAGCATACTAAATGAAATGAAGGTCTCTGTTGATTTTATTTTTTTCTTGTAAGGAAGAACTACAGAAGTAAGTCAATTCTACAAGGGCCAAGTTTTATCAGGAGACAAAATCTTTCAAATACTTCCTGAGGCATAAAAAGATATGATTGCCTTCCAAAGAAATCAGGTTCTGGAAATGGACTTCCAAAGCTTACACCAGTAGAGCAAACCATGTTTGATGAAGCTTTTATAAAACCCACTTTAAGTACTGAGGTCAGAAAGCAGCTGAATGTACAACTATACTTTCCCCATCAGGAAACATACAATTTCTGCAGCAAGATACTTTAATACCATGCACACTGTTATTTCTTGAGTTTTTATACTAAGGGTACTTAGAGTCTTAGTGTGAAGCTGTTGGATAAACAATGGACTGCCAACTGCAAGGCTGGAAGTTCAAACCCACCAGCCAGCCCCTGGAAACACTATACAGGGTTGCTGACTTGTAACCGACTCAACAGTACACAACAGTGATACAGTAAGTAATTCTCCTCTGTTCACCTATACTACTAAAAACTTACTCCACAAGAAAAATCTTGATCTTCTGAGCATTAAGACATTTTACAAAATATTTTTTTTTTTGAAAATTTCTGAATCTTCAGAAAAATTTCAATAGTTCAAAAAACACCTATTCTTTCTTTTTTTCACACCACCTTGTTTGTTAAAATGTTTGTAAAATCATGAATGATTCTTCATCCCTAAATATTCCAGCATATTTCTAAATACATTAGCATGTATACGCCTAAACACAAGGGCATTCTCTTGCATACTATTAATACCTAATGTTGTTAATTATTATATCCAGTTTGAGGGGCCTTCAAAAAGTTCATGGAAAATGGAATTAAAAGATAATGGGGAAAAAAAAAGATAATGGAACTTTTCCATGAACTGTGTGAAGTCTTATCATTAAATTCCCCAACTGTCTCAATAATATGTTTTATGGCTATTTTATGCATTATTTTACATAGCACTAAAAACATATTGCTGGAAAATGCTAGGATACTAAAAAACATTGAATTATAGAGATTACTGTGAAAAACAAGAATCCCAAAGATAGAAACTCAATCTGGTTCCCAAATGATGATTTAATTGAATTTAAGAGGATTAGAATAGCTCCTGTATGCTCATAGGCACATTTCACAATTCAAATGCACTCAAGAAAACTACTAATAAACATCTAATTTTCAATATCATTTTTAACTTCAGTGTCTCTGATAAACTGCTTTAATAGACTCTTCTTTATAGTCCTATTCCATAAAGGTGGGGACAAAATCCACTCTTTAAGTGACATACAACAGGGGCCATAAAACTGTAAGGAAAACAAGGACCTCACCTCAGCATGGACAGAGTTGATATGATACTTGACACCACTCTCTGACACAAATTCTTTCTGACACAAAAGACACTTGTATTTTCCAACCACAAAGTTTCCCTGTTTCCAAGAGAGAAAGAAAAAAAGAAAAATAGGAGTAAATTCAGGGACACATACTTACACATACTTGCATATACGTGCAGGAATTGTGAAAGATGAAAAGAAGGGGACCTGATTCAGCAAAAGTAAGAAGGAAAAGGTACCAAACACCAATGTACAAGAATCAACTCAGACAAACTTTTTACCAATAGATACCTACTCTAAAGTAATGCTATACCACACACTTACTCTTTCAACATACCTGAAGCTCTTCTGATTTTTATTATGTAACACTATGTATTCCTACCTTCCTATTATCTGTCTCACTTCACTGCCATGTCCTTTCAAGAGACTCATAAACTAACTTTAAGGACTCAGAAACTAGGGTCAAGATGACAAATTCCTAAGCATTTCTGGACAGATTGATATGGATGCCTAAAACTCCCTTGTTGCCACGGGACTTCTTTCCCCTACTGAAGCTTCATTGTATGTGAGGGAGGTATTTCTAAATGCAGCTGGAAGGTGACATTGTATGTGAGGAAGGTATTTCTAAATGCAGCTGGAAGCAATCCCCATGGCTAATGGTTTGTAGTAAACCTGGGTCAACATGGAAAAAATTAGTCTGGTAGTCTGGTAACTCTTTCCTACCTCCAATTCCCAGAGGCCAGTATTTTTTGATAAATTTAGGAGATCATCACCAGTCCAAATATGTCCAGCATGAGACAGACTCAAGTGGAAGGAGTTAAGTATATATATGATAGGAACTCAGCATTAATATTTCTCAAAATTCCCTTAATTAATATAATTTATGGATACTTCGGACTCCTAGTATGGTGTTGTAGGATCAGCAGTGGACTGGCAACCAGAAGTTGACTGTTCAAGCCCACCAGCGGCTCCTCAGAAACCCTATACAGGGTTGTTATGAGTTGGAACCAACTCGGCAGTACTTAATAACAACAACAACATGGATACGTTGGCTTTTTCTGTGGTTAGGTACACCCTGGCATCCAACCCGTCATAGAATCTTTAGGACATAAAAAATTAAACCAATCTCTGATGATAACAATAAACCGGAAAACTAACCTAAATAGGATTCTCTTTCATGTCAACTATTTTAAAGCAATGTTAAAATAATAGGTTTAGAAGGTTACAAACCAATGTGCAAGAACCCAGGTGAGCTTTAAGGCCTGATAAACTACCGTAGACAGCCTCACAACCCTGGAAAAAAGAAGACGATACAATGTGAAGATTATGCCAAATAACAAACTGTACATTTTCATTAATCTGGAGGAAGAAGATCAATAAATAACACCACACCAAACAGAAAAATGATCTACAACATGTAAGTCACATAAGGAAAACCAACGAAAGGTAAAAGGAAAAAAAGGTAAACAAATGATATATTTGGTTAGAAAAACTTCAATCATTCTCTTTCCTGGTACTTTCTCTGACACTCAGAGAAACAGAAAAACTGTATAGCTATATTTTTCAAAGTCTGTTTTCTCTGAGTACAAATGTTTCTCCTATTAACTTTGTATCTACTCTTCCCCCAAAGCATACAGTTGTGGTAGGATGATTTAAGATGGCTGCAAATTCTCTGCCACTCTCCCCATCATGAGATGGAGTCTATTTCCTCTCCCCATGAACCTAAAAGCCCTAAAAGTGCTTTCATTGACACAATGCCACGGAAGTGATGCTGTGCAACTTGTGAGGCTAGGCCGTAAGAAATCTACAGCTTCTGCTAACATGTTCTAGGAACGCTCTTAGACATGAACCATGTACACTGCTGGTAGACCAACAACCTGCTGAAGACATGGAGGCTATGTGCAAAAGTCAAGCTAAATATAACCCCATGAGTAATCCAGCAGATGCCATGCAGAGCAAGGAAACTGCCTCCTGCACCCTCAACCCGAGAGAATTGTAAATCTACAAGAACTGTGAACAAAAAATTGTTTTAAATCATTAAGGTAGGGTGCTTTATCACAAAGCAATGAACTGAAACAACAACACATAACTTGGAAAAAAAATTTACTAAATGAGTAATAAAGAATCACCTGGTTAGGACACTGAATACGATGATACTTCTTGACCTCTAACTTCCATTTGTGTAGTACTTCTTGGCTGAAAGTAGGTAGCCCAGGGCGGGTATATTTTAACTGTAAAACAACAAACAAGGAGAACAAACAAGATGGCAGATTGGGTGGATGTGTAGCAGAGAGCTCCGACAACAACACAGAATACCCGACCAAGCAGGCTCAGGGGGTGGTCCCAGAACTCTGAACCACATATAAAGGAATACTTAGAAGGTTGAAGGCTCACATCTGGGTAAATTTGTGGCAGAAGCAAGAAATCTATTGCTTTCTGTCTGGGACGCTTGGCTGCTCCAGGAGCCACCATCTTGGGTGAGACCACGTGGGGGAAGGATCGGAGCGGCCACAGA